TAATGTTCCTTTTTTTGCATAAATTGATTATGTTTTACAGTGTTTCTTTTTTTTGCGGAAATTAAGAATTTGTGACAATCAAAACATGTTTATTTTTGTGTGTATTTGTCTTTATCCATAGTTAAAATGTAAAATTTGAAGCGCTGTAAGGTAACGCAGTCCCGGATCATGTGCAGGACCAACTCGTAATTCTCTGTTTACAATGTTTCTTTTTATTCCTACCTTCTACGTTGGGCTTGATTTCAAGCCAGTGCTAGTACTTGGTAAGCGCTTCTTGTCTGTTTTGCTGCGAACTCTCATAGCTGCGTGGATTCTGGTTCTCTGCTGCACAGTGTCTGGTTGACGCAGCGGCTTGCTTCATGGCGCATAGTCTGTGGAAAGGAGTGAGCAAAATTATTAAGCTGAGAGGCTATTATTATCTTAAAGTGCGCATTCTTTTCTGTTGAAAAAAAACCAAACGGTACAGCCCCTTCAGAATCCGCTTCCTCTGAGATGTGGAGAAGGTGCTGCATCGCCAGCAGCAACACCTCTCTCTTGCAGTGCTGTCATTGGCCACCGCTTTCCAGTGCTTCAGTGAGGCGATGCAGACAGGTGCAAGTGACCATCGAAACTGTTTGAGAGGTGCAGCGATTTTGTGCTCTGATCGGAGGACAGTTACGTTTGTTCAACTTCTACGGCATGTGTAGCTTGCTTGTAGTTCCCACGCATTCACTCGATTTGTGAGTAAATGGCAGGCCCATCTTGTTTTCTCCATGTCTGCTTGGCTTTATTTTTTTTTTTTTTTTACGCTAGATTTGACGTTTTTCGGTGCATATGTCTCAGTATAACAATCGTTTGTTAGCCATATCTCATCTTTTTTAAACGAAGTTTTGAACTTTTTTGTTTAAAATTTTGTGCATTTTTGATAGATAATGGTTAGGACTGTGTTCTCGCTTTTCACTACTGCAGTGAAAGAGTAAGGGAATTTTGCAAACTTCATTTTCTCGCTGACTTGCATTTTGGTGAACCAGAGCAAGGGGCGAGCGACATAAATGTCTGCGTGGAAACCCGCTAACACATTTGTAAGAACGAAATGTACGCCGACTTGTTAAACAAGTGAACTACCAAATGCTACGTCATGACTTATTGGCGCGCTGCTTCACAGTGGAATTTGGAGACAGTTAATAGATCTTAGCTGGTTTATACACGGATCGCGAAAACGCTATTGGTGGTCGCGGAGGTCACCGCAGGAACATAGATTTGGGAGGGGGAGGGGATTCGAAAGTGCGGGGGAGGGCGGCGCCGTGCTGGTTCGACATGCATTGGCTTAGGACAGGGAGAGGCTGGGACTGACAGCTGCTAAATTCAGCTCGGCCACACATTGTTCACTCGTTTATGCATTTAGTGTTTGGATGGTGCAGATTTGAGTTGTGAGGAAGCGGGGGGGGGGGGGGGGGGGGGGGGGGGGGGGGGG